TTCCTGTGTCCAAGAAAGCGACGGTGACCTTCAACTGCAGCCGCCATGTGTCCGAGGTATGTAGGTATAAATACATCACTTTCAACTGAAACAATGTAGTCAAGCGCAGCCATTTGAGACGCATGATTGGTAAAAGGTTCAAGCTCCTCAATTGATGCCAATGCTTCCTGAAAGTGAACCCCAGTAATGGATAAACGAGCATTACAATCCATGTGTTTGGATTTCAGACATCCCCGTCCATCCCCAGATATATTCGAAACAAAAATTTTGCAAGTACCCCAAAACCACCCTCTTAAGATAAATTGAACAGAAAGATAGATTTTGATTTGGACTTCCTTGCGATCTTTTTCTTAGTTACATTGGAGGAAATGGGCCCTTGACCTATTCTAGTCCTACACCCACCCACTTTCTGCATCTGTTAGCCAATCATACAGACCCATAACAGTAAAAAAAAAAAAACAAACTCAAATGCTTCTTAGTTATAGATGAATAACCAGCACAACACAAAGGAATGATCAATTACGATTGTATATAAACTCAGCAAGACCACACACCACAATTTCTTTCTTTCTTTCTTTTTTTCAGAAACATGGTTCCTGCCTTCGACAAACAAAAGATAGGTTTGAATTTTGAAAGGATAACGTTGAAACTTATAAATGACTTTTAGCTAAAATTTACATCCCCGTCTATTGGTGATTGACAAGTACCTTACTATCATCTGAGAGACTTGCTGGTCTGATGTCATTTTCTACATTTCTAAAAGAAATTTATCAGTTGTGCATGGTAATCCAATGACTCTTAATATATATATTATCTCTGATAATCCGCCCTGCTTATATCAGCAGGTTTGCCACCATTGTTCACACCAATAAATCGTAATCTCGAAGTCCTCTCAAACTTCATGAATAAAATCCTAATTTGGCTATGTCATAAATCATAAGCTCTTGATTGTTTTAATGATGTACAGCCATAAAGGAATCTTTCTTCGTACCCAGATTTAAAAGAAACAAAACATATGGCCAGATGACAGTGAAATGCACAAGATAACATTCTGTCTGAGATTATAATTTTGAGTGATGTGAGCCCCCAAGAAGAGTAGTAGTCCCATTAGTTCAAAATAGTAATAATGCATCTGGCCAACATATTGGATCAAATAATGTGCAGAGCTCCCTTGCTACAGCAGTCGTGATACATTTCTATCTATACTCTATGTATATTTGAATGTCATATTATTCAATGTTAACTTCAAGGCCAACCATGGACATTCCAAAAGTTTCAACATATTCCATTCAGAGCTCAGTTATTTAACTAAATGGAAAAGATCAATTATAAACATCAATTATACCTTGCTCTTCAGTATTGGAAAACGGGATAGTAGATCAGCCATATGAGAATCGTCATACATCTTTCCAGCAGCAATGTAGATAGGTGTGTTTGGTGGGTACCCAAGAGTACTGAGAAAAATTCCAGTCTCCCTGGGAGTTAAGGGAAATACCCTCTGGATCTCTGTTCTATGGGATTAATTTCCTTATTTCTCCAGGTTTTTGTGTTCTCCCTACATGTTCCAAATAAAACAGGCATCACAAATGCTCAAGGATTAACCAATGTGACAGAATTTATTGCAATATAAGTATTTCATACCGAATGATCCTTAGTTCATCAGCTTCAGATGGAGTTAAATCCTGCGTGCATCCACTAAAGGCAAGCATGTCCTTCTCAAATCGTAAATGAAGGGCAATATAGGGGCCAAATGACCTCATCCGATCAACTAACAACTTCAACATTAACGAAACAAATAATTGTTTTTTTAATAGATGGAATAGGACGAAAAAGTCACAATAGGCATTCCAGAAATCAAAACAAGCATTTAGATCTAAGTATTTACTTTTCCCATGGCTTCAATTTCAGGTGTAAAATGCGGAGCTTCATAAAAAGCACAACAGTGAAGTTTCTGTATATCTAGAGGTAGGTTGTTGTTTACTAAGCGAGCATCAGCTTTGGAAGCTCGAATAACCTTCGAAAAAGGATAAATTGTTTAACAATATGATTTTATGAGTTCAAAAAAGAATATATAAAATACCTTGCATAAACCAGAGTGTTCCAGAAAGCACACCTCGTATAATTCCTAGAGACTAGCAATCTCATCTTGGTAATAATACATACCGCCCCAGCTTCTGAAAAGCTTAAGTGCTCTGGGACCAGAAGCAAGTTCCTTAGGAAGCTTTCTTACAATTTTAACGTCATTAGCTAGAGCATTGATAAAATGATCTTCATCAAATACATTTGAGAAGTTGCTGCGCAACATACACATGAAAGAATTCTTGCATCAATGATGTAATAGCTAAGAATAAAACAGAATTCTCATAGTGTAAAACAAGTGACTGTTACCTAGAGTCTTTCCAAAATGACCGTTGATCAAGTTCTGGAATTAAAAGAGTGGCATTTATGATACGGGCTACAGCTACCATGTCACATATCTGGAATTCATGGATGACACATTTCAGCACCATTCAAAACTCAGATGATGATATTCATAAAATTATCATGTACATAGAGCCAAGCAAAATATTCTACGGCTTTTGTGTCTACCATTGTGAAACAAACTAATCAGCCATCATATAATCAGGGTCAAACGGGTACTAAATAGATTTGTAGCGTGATGCCACGTAGCCTACCATGATGGTAAAAATTATGCAGTTCTACAGTTTTGATCACTTAAATCGTGCAGGTTTTTTAATATTACATAGGTACAGACCAAACCCTACAACATCCAGGCAGGCACAGCCAAGTCAAAATTGTGCACCCATGAACTCCATTTACTTTAGTAACTATATAAATTGCAGTAACCAATTAATATGTGCATATGCAACTAGATAAAATTAACGGGAGAGAACTCTCAAAGCTTAAATGCCGTATTTAGTAATGGAAAGAAAGAAGGATAAAGGCCTATCCCAAAACTTTATGCGGGAACAAATACAACTTGAGATCCCATATGTGACAGATTAGAATCAGATTATTGTTTCACAATAGTAATACGTGAGGGATTAGAATCTATATATATATAAACTCTCTTTTTAATTACATTGGAGGGAAACAAACCCTGGATCTATCCATAATCCTAACCCATTAACCCACCTTCTCTCACGGTCTCACCGCTTGGGCTAACCTCAAGGGCTTAACATAAACGAACTTTTGCTAAACACATTTCAAAATCAAATTTTGGACAGGATCAAAATTCAACACAAGACATTTGAGAAAGAGTGTTTACTTACCCCTGCACGCATCTGATTGAGACCACCATTTGTGCGCACTTGAAAGTAGCCCCGTGACTCCGCAGGAGCTGAATAAACAACAGTACAATGGAAATTAGGAACACCAACGGTATGTCATTATGTTATCACCACACAATAAAACACTACCAGCAACTTACGTGTATAGTTGGGACTTGGCTCTATACATTGCATAAAATCGGGACTCGGTGGAATCTTCCATAGCTTGTCATCCAATATCCAACTGGTATCATCCAACTGTCAAGTCTAAAGGAGTGAAAACATGAAAGATGCATAACTTTGTCACATCAACAAATGTATCTACAAGATTCAGACCTGTTGTGTTTCTTTTCTCATTTTCGTCCAAAGATATTGTGTTTTGTAGCATCTTATTCCGTTGAATCATAATAACGCCAACCATGAAGTTGATGCATTCAAATTCTTCTTCTTTAGTTTTCCTTGGTTGTCACAATATCAACATTCAAATGGAGTACATAAAGAAATCATCAATCATATACGTAATTGGTCATTTTATACTTTTTCGGAAACAAACACACTTGTAAAAGAACAAACCCAACAGTAATCAAATACTCACAGCTGCATACATAGCACCAAAAAATAAAAAATAAAAATAATAATAATCTACAGCATTTTTCATAATTAAAAAACTCAACATTACTATCATCGAAAAGGCTAAAACCAAATTGTAAAAAATACAAAAGCTTCAAGAAAATAATCGAAAAATTGAAAGATTTTACATTTGCATTTTCTGAAAAGAACAAACGAGTGAGAAAAGAGAGATGGGTCGGATTAGGGGATTACCGTGGGGAGCTTGACGGGGTCGGAGAAGTTGGGGACTTTGGAGAAAGAGAAGAGAGCCACTAGCGCAATTGAGCATACGGCGCACGTTAGCACCTTCCTCACTGTCGCCAATGTTCTCCAGCTCCTCCTCTGCATCTGAGTATCTGAAGCTCACTCATCCAGAGGCCCCACTGCAAATCCAGATGACGGGAATGCGAGTAAAGATTGCGGCTTTGGGTTGTTGGTTTTGGTGGGTTCGCGGGTTTTGGCGCTGAGCTGAATCGGTTGGCCTGATCTCGGGCGTTTGTGAATGGATTTATGCCGCTTTGCGTGTGCTTTGTGGGTTTTTGCCGCTTTGCACGGTATATGAGGTATTAAACGTTTAACTTTTTATTTTGTTTCGGAGTTTTTGACGCTAACCTTTTATTTTCAATCGCTTTGAAGATTTTATTTTCACTCTTACATATTTATGTCTGAATTAGAACAGTGGTCCATGAATTTTGACCTGATTGGAGTTTTGATATTGAATTAAAAACTGAGTATTCATTTCACAACGTTTGCAATGATCATTTCGAATAACACAGTTAGAACTCTCATCCCTTATGCGACAGAAGTTCTAATGGTGTTATCCAAAAGAATCGTCGCTCCACAGTCTATATTGTGATAAGCCTAAAGATCAATACTCACATATAATATTTAGTTTAAGGATCGAAAGTCCAGGGACAAATACTTTAATGTTCTCTTATTTCTTTAACATTTCTCCTAATAAACTTAAAAACAAAATAGTTATCACATGTTTCAAACATAATATTAAGATGTAATAAACTTGAGATACCACCATTCTACCGCCTCGGCATCCCCATTGTATGTCAGTGCATCTTGTGATGGCTTCCACTACTAAGCTAAATAGAGGAAATGTAAATGTAACATAGAGAACAAACAAAATCCATAACTTATATTGCATCGATTATGACTATGAGTACATGGAAGAGTGCCTCTAACTTTTGGAAACAAACAATTTAACTATTTTCGTATCCCCAATGAATCATTTTTCTCTAATTCCAGAAAATGTAGAAACCAGGCCAACTTCGCAAAGCTCACAACAAATATTGCCTTGGTCATAAATGGAAGGCCACGTCCCCGGCATCTCGTTCCCTCACCTGCATACCCTACTCTAGCAGTTTGCTCTTCATCAACACTATGATATACCGCCCCCATACCCACCAGCTACCTAAACTCAGGATATACACACACTCTGCGTCCCTGTGCGTACAAGTGAAACACCAGTTTGTAAACTTCCAATAAACTGCAAAGAATGATCGTCTCACCAGCCTTCCAGCACAGGAATCTTTTCTCAAGATTAACCATTTCACTATCTGAGACGATTAGAGAGTTGCTCGTATCGGGAATTCCTTCTTACACAAGCAATCTGGTAAAGGGTTCACATAAAAGGGTTCTTCTGAACGAAACCTTTCCGTGCCCTTAGTTCCTGAAATGGGACCCTTTCTCTTCCGCGCAGAGCCTTGCCTGTTGATCCAGATTCAAAGACGGTCAATTATGAAATAATCGGCTTACCGGCCATTCAATAAATTTGAGAAAACAAGAAATTAATATTTGTGTACACAATAACCAGAAATGGTATTGGTTAATTTGGTTTGGCATTCTCATGGAACTTCAAAGTTTTTGGGGGAGAAATATCATACCGTTTCTTGTGCATTTCAATAACTCTATTTGATAGGTTTTTGCCCTCTTTCAGAGTGCCCTGCTCAAGTTTGTCAATCAGGCGAACAAGGGCTTTTCTGAACAGCACAGAAACAGATTCAATTTGCAGTTTTGTTTATGATCATAAAATTGTATCACGAGTAATCAAATCTGCATAAAATTCAGAAAAGAAATCGCCTTGCCTGTCAGGAGATATTGTTTTCCTGTGTCCAAGAAATCGACGATGACCTTCGACTGCTCTCGCCATGTTTCCAGAGTATGAAGGTATAAATACATCACTTTCAACTGAAACAATGTAGTCAAGCGCAGCCATTTGAGATGCATGATTGGTAAAAGGTTCAAGCTCCTCGGCAGATGCCAATGTTTCCTGAAAGTGAAGACCAGTAAAATCCCCACATTAATGAATTACATAATCAGAACAGATTTTTTTTAAGCAACCCGAAACCATCCTCTTACAATGGATGATTTGATTTTTCACGAGTTATCCAAATAAAACCTCTGGTCTATTTGATGTAAGGGCATCTCACCTTCTCTCCCTTAAAATAAAATATTACTATACCCATTAAAATATAGTAGCAGAAGAAAAATACCACAGAGTCTCTTCATCTGTTAGCTCAGTACCCATCACCAGCAACATAGTACATTAAATACCTCTTAGTAATAGATGAATGACAAGCATAACACAAAGAGAAAATGATTGAGATTCATAAACTCGGCTATATTTCAACCCATAAGAGTTTCTTTCAGTAAATCCTTTCTTTGTAGTAATTTGTACCCGGATTTTTTGAATAAAAATATTTATGGCCAGATCACAGTGAAATACACATCAATTGGAAATTATAATTGTGAGTAATTTGAGCCCCAAGGAGAATTGCTCCAGTCAGTTTAAAATAGTACTAATGATGTGGCCAATATATTTGGTAATCGTGTAAAACTTTCTTTCAGTAGTCCTGATAATTTTCCATCTACACGCTTTAATATGAATATCACATGCTCCATGTTCACTGAAGCCCAACCAGACATTCCAAAAGTCTTATCATATTGACATATTCCACTTGGAGCTCAGTTAAATAAAGAAAGCATAAAGCATCAATCATACCTTGCTCAGCAGTATTGGATAACGGGACCGCAGAGCAGCCATATGAGACTCGCCCCCATATATCTTCCCAGCAGCAAGATATATAGGTGTGTTCAAGGGGTACCCAAGAGAGGTGAGAAAAATTCCAACCTCCTTTGGTGTTAAAGGGCAATACCCTTTGGATCTCTGTTCTGTGGAATCAATTTCCTTCTCTTTCCAGTATGGGGTATTCTCTCTACAAGTTCCAGCTAAAAAAGTCAGGCATCACAAGAGCTAAATGACTATCCATAAATTGATTGAAATCTTGCATATAAGCATGTCATACCGAATTATCCTTAGTTCCTCAGCTTCATCTGGAGATAAATCTTGTGTGCATCCACTAAAGGCAAGCATGTCCTCCTCAAATCGTAAATGCAGAGCAATATAAGGACCAAACGACCTCATTCGATCAACTAACAACTACAACATTAATGAAACAAAATATTTGTTAAGTAGTCATGGAATAGGACTAAAACGTTACATAGGCAATCTAGAAATCAAACGAGCATTTAGATCTGACTATTTACTTTTCCCATTGCTTCAATTTGAGGTGCAAAACGTAAAGCTTCATAACAAGCACGGCAGCGAAGCTTCTGTATATCTAGAGGTAGGTTGTTATTTGCCAGGCGAGAATCAGATTTGGCAGCTCGAATAACCTTGGGAAAAACCATGTGTATATCCAGATGATTAATTCAAAGGAAAAACAACACAATAGATCACATAAACCACAAGGTTCCAGAAACCACACCTCGTATTCTTCCCAGAGGCCAGCTATCTCATCTTGGTAATAATCCATACCAGACCAGCTTCTAAAATGCTTAACCGCTCTTATACCAGTAGCTAGTTCCTTAGGAAGATTTTTTATAATTTTGACATCATTAGCTAAAGCATTGATAAAATGATCTTCATCGAAAACATCTGAGAAGATGCTGCGTACCAAAGATATGAAACAAATTCTTGCATCAGTGACATCAAAGCTAAGAATAAAAGAAAGAATAACTCAGAAATTAAATAAAAATATAGAGAGTGTTACCTAGAGTCATTCCAAAATGACCGTTTATCAAGTTCCGGAATTACAAGAGTAGCATTTATGATACGGGCTACTGCTACCATGTCACATATCTGAAATTCGGTAACGACACATATCAGCTCGGTGCAACAGTCAGATGATGATATTTATCATATAGTAGATAATATAAATATATATAAATATATATATATATATATATATATATATATATATATATAAAGTTACATAAGTTTCTATCATCGTGATTTGTGAAACACACCAATCAGCTAAGTAGATAGATAGAACAGTAGCATCTGTCATGTCTTTGATACAACCATGATGGTAAAAATTGTGCATTTACAAAATTTCCTGCCACTTAAATCGTGCAGGTTTTCGACATGGTGACAGAACGAGTGCAGCACTTATCTGTCACATATGCCACTCTAAATGGAACTTAAGTTTCCAATTTTCCCTTCTTTTACAATCTATCAACGGACTAACAATATAAAGAACTTTTTATTCCACAATCAAAATTTGGAATGGATCAAAATTCAACACAAATATTCAGTTTTGTGATTAATCAAAATAAATTTCATAGAGTGAGTAATTTAGGGAAGAGTATACAGACCCCAGCACGCATCTGGTTGAGCCCACCATTTGTATGAACTAGCAGGTAACCCCGTGACTCTGTAGGAGCTGAATAAACAACAGTAAATTGGTTATTAGCAAACACCAAACGATATGTCATAGCTACTCAATAGAACTGAATCAGAAACTTACATGTATAATTGGGACTTGGCTCTACGCATGGCACAAAATCATGATTTGATGGACGTTTCCATAGCTTGTCAGTTTCCAAAATCCCACTTGAACCTTCCAACTGTCAATTCTAAAGAAGTGAAAACATGAAAGGTGCATAACTTTTTCCCATCAATAAGTGTATCTAAATCTATAAGACTCGACCAAACTTCCAAGTGCCAACCAAAGGGTATATAACCTCTCTTTTTCTTTCTCCCTCCAAACAAAAGTCAGCATCAACACATTAGATCCTCGTTTCTCAGAATTATATTTCCTCGAATCCTAATTACACTTGAATTTGAAACTTTCAAAATTCTTCCTATATATCATCAATTAAATGGAGTACATAAGGAAATCATCAACGATAAAAGTAATGATCAAAAGACAAAACCTTGCGAGAGCTAGAAGGCAGAGGCGCTTTCAACAGATGGGGCGGAGCGATCTCCAGTGTCCAGCTCTGCTCGGCGCTCAGCTTCTGATATTTAATATCATGTTGCTACAAAATCAGTAAACAAAAAAAACACACAACACACACAAATTCAGATCAACCAACTAAATATTTCTCAAAAACAAAACTGAAATGCAACAAAGACTCAATTCTGTTGTCCTTTTTAGAAACAACTTCAGTTTTGGTAGAAACTTCCCATATGGGGAGTCAGTCAAATCCCAGTCAATGAACATCCACACGTAATCCAATATACATACCAAAACTAAACTAAAAACAAAACCCAACTCAGATAATGAGTCAAAGATCCATAAATACATACACAAACATACCCTCTTTGTATATTTAGAGACCACAACCGTACTTTTAGCGACGATCAAAATCCAAATCCCGCTGATTGGGAGAAGGGTGTGAAAAAAATCTTCAAAAAAATACAAAAAGCAGAGGAATTCGAAAGAAAAAGATAATAAAATTGAATGATTTACCGTGGGGAGCTTGAAGGGGTCAGAGAAGTCATGGACCCTTGAGGAAGGGAAGACCAGTACATGGACAGAGAAGAGAGCCACTAGCGCTATTGAGCATATCGCGCACGTTAGCACCTTCCTCAGTGCGGACAATGCTGCCCACCTCTTCTTCTGCATCTGGGTATCTGAAGCTCCTCACTTATTCAAAGCATCGCCCAAAAATCCAAAATGCGAATAAAGATTGAGTCTTTCGGTTGTGGGGCTTTGTGGGTTTTGTGGGCTTAGCTGAGGGCGGAGGTTAGGCTGAGGTCGGAGGTGCGGCTGAAGTCGGCCGGCCGGTTGTGGGGGTTGGGTTTTATGCTGTTTTGGCAGTGCGTTTATCTGGGTTTTTGCCGCTTTGCTTGCGGTAGTTTGGTCTGTTTACTTGCAATGGCGATCGGCAGAGGAGACGCTTTAATTATTCGCTTTATATAAAACCAAAAACTAGAACAAGAATAGGAAGGACACAAAGAAAATGGCCATTTAATTACTTCGTTTTTTTTTCTCAACCATTTTAATCTATTCTATTAAGAGATATCTTCATTTTATTTTTGTTTTTGATTAAGAAGTGTGATTAGTTTTTAAAATTTAAAAAAAAAAGTATGGGACAAAGACAGTTTCTTTTAAGGGGCTTTTAGATCTAGGTCCAAAATCATAGAGTGTTTTTAGGAGGGAATCCAATTATCTAATTATATGTATTTATTTCTTTATACTCATTTAATGTTTTAAAAACAATATTAAAAATCAATTAAAATCTTTTAATATTATGCATTTTCCAACTCCAAAATATCTAATTAATATCTTATAACAAAAAAACTAATATACTAACATAAATTTATCTGCAAAACATTCTACCCTAACTCAAGTAGCAAATTTATGAATGTATATTATACCTATAAGTGAGATATGAAACCTAACTAAAAGGTAGAAAAAACATAATATACCTACAAGCAAGACACATTAATTGGTGACAGGTTGACTATGAAAAAAATATGTCATATAGGTAGATAAATACAATTAACCTGTAATATAGGTTGATTATAAAAATTAAAATAAAATCTATAAATAGGATAAAGCAAGAGTAAGAACAAGAAATAACAAAAAAATAAATAAAAAGAAATAATCAAAGAGATAATTAGGAAGAAATTTGATTTTTACAATAAATTTTTTCATTGAAGAGATAATTATTGATAATTAAATAATTAAATTTAAGGAATTTGACTTATTTTAATAACTTGGATTATTCCTACTATTGACTCAAAAAATTGGACTTATATCAAGTTTCCCCTTCTTTTAATAAGGGCATATTTTTTTCTTAATATAGGGTAAAATAGGGAAAATAGGGATATGATTGTTATTTTCCCAAAAGGTATATAATTACTGTTTTGTCCTTCTTATGTAAACATTGTATTTCAAAAGTGAGGGTAAAATAGAAAAAATAGGGATATGATTGTCATTTTCTCAAAAGTTCTATTAAGAGAAGGGCCCTTGTCAACATGTTTTCCTCACTTTTTCAATTTTGCCCTCACTTTTGAATACATAATATTGACATGAGGAGGGCAAAATAGTAATTTTGTATCCTTTGACAAAATGACAATCATATCCCTATTTTTCCTATTTTACCCTTACTTTTGATACACAATATTTACATAAGGAGGACAAAAAACAGTAATTATGTAATATTAAGATAAAATATGCACTTATTAAGAGAAATTGTCTTACCATCATTTTTTCACTCTTTTTAAAATTTTAAAAACTAATCACACTCTTTAATAAAAAAACTAAAAATAAAATGAAATTGTTCACACATACAGAGTGTGTGCTCGACGACTAGTTACATGTTATAAAAAGGTATTATTTTCATTCCAAAAAAGATCTCTTTTACTTTTTCTTTTGTGTGTAAAAAATTAGATAGAGCTCACACATTATGTGTCTATGCGTCTGTAGATGTAAAAATAGTAAAAGGAAAAAAATATAGAAAAGAAAAGTTGGGAAAAATGTGAGAGATAAGATGTGTTATTATTATTTTAAAAAAAATTAAATATCTTATGACGACACGTGGATTTGGTTTGTGGGAAATAATATTACTGTCTATGATTTTATTTTGTTATAAAAGATTAAATTGTAGCGTACTACGGTTTATTGATATTTTTTTTTCACTTTTAAGTAAGAGGTCTTAGGTTTGCTAGCATATTGTGGGGTTAAGTCTACCCTTTACTCCTTAGTGTATATAATATTTTTTGCTGAAAAATAAATAGCAAATTATCATTTCATTCTTTTTCTTTTTTTTACAAAAATGATTTTATTAATAGGTAATTTAGATAAAGAAAACCTTCTAATGAGAGAAAAATGTTTTAATAATGTTTTGCCACTTATATCATGAACCCCACAAAAATTCTGAAATTAATTCCTTTTCATTTAGAAAAAACAAAATTATTTAAATTTAACTTTTTCTTGAGCGAAATTCGAACTTTTTCCTAACAAACAGAAGGAATTGTCAAATTCTAAGATTTGATAAAAGAGTGTTATCTTAAAAATCAATTTGTCAGATTATCCTCAAAACATTTAGATAAGTTATAGATGATGAATATGAGAAATAAGGAAAAGGAATAAGATAATAGTTAGTTTAATACTATAGTTAGTGGTATTTTTTTAATTTGTAAGTTAGAGATTTCGGATTCGACTCACATAGATAGTTCTCTTCCCGTTAAATGTAGAATGAAAAACAAGTATGATTTCAAACCACAAATGATGAAAAGTTAGTAAAATTTGTTTATAATTTCTCTTTCCCCCAACAAGGATCAAATATGTGCTTGGCCATTGTTTGTTTTGATTGTATGCAAAGTTCCGATTAGAAAAGTTATACCTTGCCCTTTAAACTTTGGCAAAAGCTCAAACCCATGCCTTTTTTATTCGTTAGTATGAATATTTGTTTTGGAAAATGTTCACACTTTTGTTTTTTACTCACATATTTTTACTTTTTCTTTGTCAAACATATATTTTTACTTAATCATATCGTTATTTTTATTTAATTTGCTCAATTTGATAATTAGAAGTGAAGATGTTGCCTCAGATAGGAGCACGTGATGGGCTGCCAACAATTCATCAAATAATAATTAAACGAGTAAGAATTTTGGTGGGTAATACCAATTTTCTTTTATAATACATATTATTGAGTGGTTTGAAAAATTAATGATTTCATGAAGGAATATAACAGATTTTTACAACGGTTGGATTTATTTATATAAAATTCACATTACTGAGTTACGTGTTCATTGTAATTGATTTTTTTATAATACACTTACGAGTAATATTAAAGGAATTTTCTCAAAAATGAAACTTTCTATAAACTCTTTGTCACGTCGTAATTTAATATTAATTTTTATACTAATATTATAAAATATTATGTAAAATATGAAATGACAAAGAATTAATAAAGAATTATACTTTAAAAAACAATCTTCTTACCATTAAAGTCAATTACTTGTGGGTTTCCCAAGGTTGCAGAGTCTTCCACCGAGCTAATAAAGCTGTAGGAGTGGTGGAGGAAGTGAGGAAACAGTGTGGGAATTGTGTGGATCTAAAGATGGAGTTAAGATGAGTTGCCTTGATGCCTTGACGGGTAGGAACTAGGAAGGCATGCATGTGCTCCTTCCAGTATTCAATGTCATATCTCCTTTATAATTCCGTGCATTGCACGCCATCGGTAGTCACAATTTCACCGTATTAAAATTTCGGACAAAATTTTATCAAGACTCAAATCAATGCACTATCCGACTTGATGTACTTAATCATCTTTCTCATCAATGAATATCAAACAAGTTACCTCAAAAACATATACAGTGTGACTTGATAGTTTTAATCAAAATTAGTAGCTGAAATCAGAAAGAAACATGAGAAATTCACTAAAATGAAAATTTTGTAAGTTTTAATTGATGAAATAAACAATAGTAATATATCGGTCAAATATTGATTACACTATTCATTGAATATTGACAGCAGATCAACAAAATTCCAAAACATAGTCATTACATAATTGAAATTGTATTTTCAACACTTCAGTTAATTTCTAACTAAAAAAATTGAAAAAAAATATAATTTACATTAACTAAAGTAAGTTTTCGCCAATAATTTGGGGTCTCTGACATAAAAACTGCAAACAAGAGCGATCCAAAAAATTTCACATAGATTGACTTCTTTCTTCGAGAATTATGTGGTGGTTGCATGGCTGACTGGCGTTGTCTAGAGAAACGCTTTAGTTGAAGTTACTCAAAGTTGGAGCCCAAATTATTTTTTCTTTTAAAAAACGTGCAATGGAAGAGCCTAGACCACCCACTTAAGGATTGTTGAGTAGGAATGGCAATTTAATTTGTCAAACTCAATCCCCGTAAGAAACCAATCCCAATGGCAGTTTTAGGGACTACATTTTGGATATGTTATGGTTATGGATAAACATCAAGTAAATTGTTCTGTTTTGGTTTGGTTATGGTTATTGGGGGATTAGCCCGGAACTCGTACACAAAACCGCCCCGTTTTCATTTTTTAATAAAAAATTGAAATATTTAGTATCTTGTTAAAGGAGTTATCAATAACCATGCATTATTATATATGGAAGTCCATGCCAGTAGTTACATGCATTATATCATTAATAATATAAATCATATGCATTATATAGCTCCAAACCCGATCCGTTCCGTTGTCATCCCTAATTCCCTATGTTGCACCCTTGAACGCAAGGTAAAAATCCATGGAAAATTATTTTGGATATCGTCTATGAATTTAAATATAGAACATAACAAAAAAAGAACATAGGGAATATGTTAAATACCTTTTTTCTCTTTTACATTCTCTGCGCTTTTTTATTTAAGAGAGATGACAACCACATATTCTTTTTCTCCCACTCACACACCTCTATTTAATTTTCTATGTTGTTTTTCATTTGATTTATCCCCTCCGACAGTTAAAAGTATAAATCAATACTGTAGAATTACTTCCCTCATTTTATTTGTAATTATATATATTCGAAAACAATTGTGTGTACGAACATAACCCCCGAGATAAAAGAAGCCAGAAGAGGTACACATATTAGGGTTATGGTGTCTACAAGAAGGAGATGGATTGTCTGCCCTTCCATTTCCATACTCTTCCTATCTCCTTCTATTTATGTGGTTACGGTTAAGTCACGTCAACATTTTATATTATTTTTTTATAAAAATAATAAAATAAAAAGTAATAATAATATAAAATGTTGACGTGGCTTAACCGTTATCACACAAAACAGGAGGGGATATGAAGAGTATGGAAATGGGTGGGCAGACAATCCACTCCCTACAAGAAACGGCATTGTCTGTCTACCAGGACACCCGAAGAACAGCAAGTACTACTGGATGGATGTGATGCATGATAGAAACTAACATATTTGCAAGTAGCAAAGAAGACAAGAGTAATAT